GGTGAGAGAATTCATCAGAGACAGAGTGGGGAGCAGAACAGGCCGACTGACGAAGTACACTGCTGGGGGAGCAGTGGGGAGACAGGGGAGGTCTGCCGCACCCTGGGGGTCCCTCCCTGGCCGGGATGGAACTCGTGCTGCAGGGGCTGCGGACAGCTCCATAGTGCTGCACTGTAACCTGTTGCACCACCAGGGAGAGCCTGGAGTGGTTCTTGAGCTGCTGTTTTCTTTCTTCTCTGCAGACACCATCATCCGAGCAGTACTGATATTTGCAGAGGGAATTTTTCTGGGTGAAAGCCACGTGGTACACCCCAGCATTCACAACCTCTCCAGCTCAATCCGCATCCCAGTCTCACCCCCCAAGGACGTCCCTGTGGACCTGCACTTGAAGGTCTTCGTGGGCTACAGAAGCAGGTGACCCTTTGCAGGTTGCAGCCATTTCCAGACAGCACTTAGAGGGTGGAGGGTGTGACTCCCCCCGTTATGCGATGGATTTTGGGGCCAGACAGTCCGTGTAATGGTCCTACCCTTCTGGGCAAGGTTTTCTATCACCTTTTATTTCTCCAATTTGAAACCTTTGAGGGGAAAAAAGGGCATTTGAATTTTAGTTGGTGTTTTCTGGTTTTAGTCAGATGATCTCATGAGTTCTAAACGTGGCTAGTTGGTGATTTATAAACTTCTAATTTTAGCCACTTAGACAATAAGATTTTGGTTAAGTTTCACAGAACCTCATGAGTGAGGAGAAACCACTAGATGTGTAGAAGATGTCCCTGAAGACTCCTGGTGTTTCTAGATGCCAAACTCTGTCAGTAGTGCTCTCACCAACCTCACGCTGCTCGAGGGTGTCTTCTTTAGTGAAACTCTTCTGCTTCCCCATCCGCGTGACCCAGTGGTGGCTTCACAGTTACTGTCTGGGCCTTGCATTTTTAAGTAACATTCTGTGCTCTTCCGCTGGTCGGCTGCAGCACCCAGTTCCACGTATTTGAGTTGACGAGACAGCTGCCCAGATTCTCCACGTACGCACTGACCAGCCCAGACGCGGCCAGCGAACCGCTCAGTTACGTGAACTTTGTTATTGCAGAACGTGCCCAGAGGGTGAGTGTCTGGCTTTTTTCTTGTACCACTTCTGCATTTTAGAATCCTTCAGCTGTTATATTCTAGGAAGGGGCCGTGTACATGAGACTGTTACTTGATGGGCGATTATGGCACGTAAGTTATGTGGTTTGGAATTGACTTATGGCCTGTAACAAAAACGTTGCTAAAATAGCATCTCTCATTTGAAAAACTATATCCATTATTTACCCGAGCAATCCTTGGTTACAGGTAAATTGTTAGGCAAATTTTAATTCCACTCTTTATTTTGTTATGGTCTTAGTGGGTTCCTTTTGACCCAGAGTATCAAGAAGAGATCACATCGAAATGGAAGGAGAAGGACTTGCAGCTGGGAAGATTGTTGGGTTCAAGTGTTACCTTAACTAATTAAATTCCTCATGATCTGGGGAGATTCCCCTCACTTCCCTTATCAGTTAGTGGGCTCGTCTTGTACCTTCGTGCCCTGAGTAATCACATAGTTACTCACAGCACCTACTGTAGCTTAAAAGGTTAACTTTTAACCTTGGCTGGTCTTGACTTGAGACTTCTTGGTGAGGCTTTTTTTCAAAAAGATTTATTGATGCATACAAGAAGTGGGGTACAGGCCAGAGGTGTGGAAGGTCAGAGGATTCACTAAAGACAGAGTGGGGAGCAGAATAGAAAGACCAACTAAAATACGCTGCTGAGGGGAGCAACGGGTGAGACGGGAGAGGTCTGCTGCACCCTGTGGGTCACTCCCTGGCCGGCATCGAACTCAGGGTCACAGTGGCTGGTGATAGTTTGATGGTGGCCACTGTGCCACCAGAGAGGCCCTGGATGAGACTTGTTAATGATGGAGAGTCATAGTATCCTTTTCAGATTATGGAACCAGAAACTGTAGCGGCAGGCTCTTCCAGAAGGTTCTTTATGTGACACCTGTGTAACAAACCTCTGTAAAACATTATTATAATTAGTGTAAACTTAGGGTGTCTATGTCTGTGCTGCGTGTGCATACACACTTCATTGAAGAACTGTTTTTAAGAATGGAACAGAATACTCTTAAGCAGAATACTTTTAAGCAGGAGATAGTACCAGAATAGCTGTCATGTAAACAGAATTAACATTATGACTGAATCATTTCTATATAATGTGTGAGATTATATGTAAGTAGAAAATGAAAATTGTAGGACCAGATGTAACTACGAAGTTTACTTACATGTACAAAGGTTACGTGTATAAGTGGGAAGAGGAAACTGGTTAGTGTTTTCTTGCCTGGGGATGAATCATAATTCTTTGTTTTGTTTTGTTTACCAAGCGGTAATAATGGAAAGAAGACTAACTCTTAGAATGACTGTACTTTGAAAATGGATATTCATTTTATCCTATTCACTTTAAGGTTGTTATGTGGCTCAGCCAGAACTTTCTGTTACCAGAAGACATTAACATTCAGAATGCTCCATTTCAAGTGTGTTTCACATCCTTACGGAACGGTGGCCAGCTCTATATAAAAATAAGACTTAATGGAGAGGTAATGTTTACTTTAAAAAAAAAGATTTATTTATTTATGCATACAAGAATAGGTACAGGCCAGAGGTGCAGGGTGGGTGAAAGGATTCACCAGAGACAGAGTGGGGGGTTGACTGAAGTACATTGCTGAATAGGGGGAAATTTAGTCGTTTCAGCCAGATTTGTATGTGACAAGATCTGAGGATGCTAAACTTGCCTCTTTTTTCTCCTGGATAGATCACCATCAATACTGATGATATTGATCTGGCTGGTGATGTCATCCAGTCGATGGCGTCATACTTTGCTATTGAAGACCTTCAGGTAGAAGCTAATTTCCCCATCTACTTTGAGGAATTACGAAAGGTGCTTGTTAAGGTGAGGACGCCCAGCAGAGGCATTTGTGAAAACATGATCGTCTAATAGTCTTTGAAACATTTAGGAGATTTATAATAGCACAAATGTATATATAGGACAGTCTTTTATTTTTTTTTTTAAGATTTATTCATTTATGCACATAAGAACTAGGGTTCAGGCCAGAGGTGTGGGGGGGATGAGAGATTTCACCAGAGACAGAGTGGGGAGCAAAACAGGCAGATGTACTGAAACACATTGCGGAGGGAGCAGCGGGGAGACAGGAGAGATCTGTTGTGCCCTGTGGGTCGCTCCCTGGCTGGGGATCGAACTCGTGCCACAGTGGCTGCCAACAGCTTCATAGTGCTGCGCTTTAATCTGTTGCGCTACCAGGGAGGCCGCACAGTCAAGTCAAAATCGAACAAACATTGGACAATCTACTCATTAAGGAATTTCTTCTATAAAAAGTGAGCGGTTGGCTCGTGACCTGCTTTCTTTGCTTTGTTTAGAGGGACATTTTACCTATTTGATAACATTTTTCATTGCAAGCCCTTCATCTTGTCTGTAGTATTGATCTGCTCTCTGGCTTAGTGCTTTACAACAACCAAAGATAAAAAGAAAAACAAGAATAGCGGCTGCTCCAGTTATGAGCACTCCTGCCCAGGGCCCTGGGTGTTGCTGGGGCTCACGGTGCTAAGACAGGGGGTGAAGCCAAATGGGAAGGTGTTCAGTGTGGGAGGCAACTCAGACTGTTGCCCTGAGAGCCAAAGCATGAGAGCGGAGATGGCGTCCACAGATGGGAAAAAGAAGGGCCCTAGTGTGTGCCGGACAGCGTCGTCCTCACATGGTTAGTTTGTCGGGAGTCCGTGAGGCCTTTTTGATTCCTGAGTGTTGGTGGTCTCTAGGTGGATGAGTATCACTCAGTGCATCAGAAGCTCAGTGCTGACATGGCTGACAACTCTAATTTGATCCGAAGTTTGCTGGTCCGAGCTGAAGATGCTCGTCTGATGAGGGACATGTGAGTAATTATCGCGATCAGGACAGATGCAGGGTTGCGAATGCCAACAATAAGCAGTGGCAGCTCGACGCCACTGGCAGAGGGGGAGCTGGTCACTGTGGGGCCACCTGGTGCTGTCAGCAGTGGAGAATGACCCGGCCACTGTACCCTTGGCTTATGACCTAGAGAAACTCGTGTACATATAAACCAGGACTGGTTTATTTTTTGTGAAAAGTTGGGGTGTAGGCCAGAGGTCCAGGGGGTGAGAGGACTCACCAGAGACAGAGTGGGGAGCAGAACAGGCGGATCTACTGAAGTCCACTGCTGAGGGGAACAGCGGGGAGACAGGAGAGGTCTGCTGCGCCCTGGGGGTCACTCCCTGGCCGGGGCTCGCATTCATGCTGCAGGGGCTGCGGCCAGCTTCATAGTGCTGAGCTTAACTCCTTGTGCCACCTGGAGCCCCCGCACTTGATTCTAAAACCTTGATAAAATATGAAGCTGAACTGGTTTGTTATGCCAAGCTAGTTTATTTATCGTTAAGGATAGGGCAGGTTGGTCTCATGAATATTACTGTGGAATTTGGAATCAAGCCTGTTACCTTGCTCCCTTTCCCCCGGCTCAGTGGGTCGAAGCTTGGTAATTCTTGGTTCCTATTTCAGACAAACACTGCATTCAAAACTAAAGGATGTCTTCCCTTTATTTGGAAGAAATAGAATATTCTGATAGAAACCTTTTAAGATTTTCCAGGCAAATTTTAGCAGTTCAGATGTGGTAATGTCAGCATACTCAATATCTCCTGACTTTTCATGTCTAAGGAATTTACCAATGTCTCCATGTCAGCCCACCTTGTCGACGGTCACTGATGCTAAACTTCTCTTGATTTACCCAGGAAAACAATGAAGCGTCGCTATATGGAACTCTACGATGTTAATAAAGACTTGCTCAATGAATATAAAATTCGCTGTAATAATCACACAGAACTGTTGGGAAACCTCAAAGCAGTAAACCAGGCCATTCAGAGAGCAGGTCGTCTGCGCGGTACGTCTCTTTCCTTAGCATTGTAATTAGACTGTGATTTTGAGGTGAGAGTCACTGAAGCTGGTGGTGGACTCAAGGACTCATGTTAGTAAACCAGTGGCACCTCAATAAATTTAAAAAAGAGCTTACAAGGGGACTAAGTTGGTGCTGGCATTTGCATTTCAGCTTATCATTGCCTTTAGTCTCCAGACTTCTGAGGGAAGAAAAACTTTCAGATCCTTTTTTAAGACCTCTTATCTTCCAGAGATAAATTTAGTAATCCCAGAGGCAAGCCTTAAATACCCCTATTGGAATAAAAGAAAGCCTGAGAATGAATGAGTTGTGTCCAACTTGACATTCAAAAAAGAACACTCAGATTTAAAGGCAGCAGAAATGTAGCTAGAGGAGCAAGCTAGAGCTCTGCAGCTCTGATCTCCTAGAAGTAATCTTTGTCTCATCGGTATGAGCTTTGATCTTTTTCTATAAAACTGACTTTTGATTTTTAGATTTGGATTTGATGCAGTTGCTCATGAAGGTATTTTTTTAAGGGAAATTAGTTTAATCTGCATACCACATAACTCTGATCCCTACTCTGTTGTACTTTAAAACTGACCTCTGATTTTTAAGTTCACTACGATTTTAACTTCATGCTTAGTAATCTTGTGGAGTGTACTGATTTCCCGGGTCTTTTCACGCAGTTGGGAAGCCAAAGAACCAAGTGATCACTGCCTGTCGGGATGCGATCCGAAGCAACAACATCAACACGCTGTTTAGAATCATGCGGGTGGGGACGGCATCCTCATAGTGCGGAAGCAGAGGTAATGCGCTCCCTCAGAAATGGTTTTTCAGAAGAATCTGCTCTGGAGCACGCCCTGGTATACCTGGTGTTCTGAGGGTGACACGGCCTTTCTGAGCTGTGCAGCTGAATGACGAAGCACTGCATCCGGCAGGGTGTCCTGTGTTACTTTGACATCACTGGTTCCACTGCTGGCCAGCACTGGCTTGTACGGAGGCGGGGGAACAGTTCTGACACCTTGGTCATCAGAGTCCACCGTTCTGTGTGTACATAGCGCGTATGGTAAATCCGCTTTTCTTGCCATTATAACTGAATTTGTAATCTTGAAATAAATGATCTACCTTTTCACTAAAATGTAAAGGTGTTATATACTTTGTGTGGACTGATGTTGAAATCACAATGTCAGAACTGAATAAATCATTTGTATTACGTGGAGAAAAACAAAAATATGGATTATTTGAGTGTTCACTGAGAAGTAGGTGTAAACAGAACATGTGTTAAGGAAGAGTCAGTTTAGAGTGATTTATTAGTTGGACTAGTGCAGACAGGTGGACCTCAAAATTCACAGCACACTTCTTTTTCATGTAAGGATGTAAGGATTTCCCTATAATTATTCAGGGGCCTGGTTCCTTGACTCACAGTTCTGTCATCCTCTTGGCCAATCTTTCTCAGCCTGAGTTCTCTAGAAAGACTTAAGGAAATGGATTTGAGCAACTTTTTTCACGTTCATTGCCTCCATGGAGACTAAGGCATTCGGGTTTGATTCTCTTACCTGGAAGCCTAATTGGAGAAGGGTCATCTTTGGGCCTTGCAGTTATATCCAAGCCAGTAGACAAGAAAAAGCTTTTAAAAGATGTGGTGTGGACAAAGAACTCTGTCATTTCTGCCTTCATTCCCTTAGCTACCGTGGCTACACCTTACTGCTTCCAGGTGAGGAAAAGTTACTAGCATGTGGCCGTGAGAAAGCTGCTGTTTATCCCAACAGCTAGCAGCTCCTTCCCTAAGAATTAAAGATTGCCTTAAGGTACCGTTCAGGGTTGGTGCAGGGCTTTTAGTCAGCCTTTTTGTATAGAAGAGCTGGGGTGCATGCCAGAGGTGTGGGAGTGGGGTGAGAGGATTCACCAGAGACAGGGTGGGGAGCGGAACGGGTGCGTTGACTGAAATACAGCTTAAGGATGAGAGATGCTGTTTATTTCTCTATTCAGTTACTTCTCTATTTTGTTGCCATATTTTTCTATCCTGGTAGAATCTGGGTGTCTTGTAGAAATTATAGGTTACGTGCTATGCTGTGGTTAAATTTTGTAGTTTTTTTTTTTTTAAGATTTATTTACGCATACAGAACTGGGGTACAGGCCAGAGGTGCAGGGGCGGTGAGAGGATTCACCAAAGACAGAAGCGGGGAGCAGAGCAGGCAGATCAATGAAGTACACTGCTAAGGGGAGCAGCGGGGAGACAGGAGAGGTCTGCGCGCCATGTGGGTCACCTCTGGGCCGGGGATTGAACTCTTGCTGAAGGAGCTGCGGCCAGCTTGCAGTGCTGCATCCTAACTCATTGTGCCACCAGGGAGGGCCATGAATTTTGTAGTTTCTTAAGAGAATATTCAGTCTTCATCTAAAAGTGGATTTTGGGCCCTCCCTGGTGGCACAGCAGGTTAAAGCACAGCACTAAGAAGCTAAAGCCACTGCAGCATGAGTTCAATCCCGGCCCCAGAACTGACCCACATGGCCTGGCAGACCTCTCCTGACCACCCACTGCTCCCCTCAGCAGTGTCCTTCCTCAACCTGCCTGTTCTGCTCCCCACTCTGTCTCTGGTGAAGCCTCTCGCTGCCCCTGCCCTCTGGCCTGTACCCCAGTTCTGTATGCATAAATAAGTCTTTAAAAAAATTAGAAACTAAAGTTAATAGGGTCCATGCTTAAATAATTGATTTTTCCTCTTAGCAGGAAAAAAAAAAAACTCTCGAAGTAACTTCATGAAATGTTTAAATTGCCATCATGGGTGACTCATAGAAGGGATTTGCAATGGGGATTTGACCATCCGCTTGCAGAAAGTGGCAACGTCCTCCCCTGCTGGGTGCTGGAACTTGAAGCCACGGCATATAAAACGGGGGGCCGATAACAAGCCGGCAGCCTTAGGCACAGCTGGAACCCAGGAGAACGTGTGCAATCCGTGTGAGGCCTTACCTGTGACCTTGATGGTGGACATCGTGGAGACTGAGCTCTCTAGGGACGCTGAAGGGAGACGGAAAGGCAGAGCTGTCGGCTCAGACGCTGACTCAACCATGGAGCGAGCCGGGAGGCGAGTCCCAGTGTGTGGGAGCTGAGCGGTGGGGCTGCTTCCTTGGGGCCCTCCAAACCCTGCACAGGAATTTATGGCTCATTCTCACTGGAAGTATGGCGGGGGGGGATCCTGGGAAATGTAGTTCAGTCCACATCTGTCGTCCAGAGCAAACACTACCAAGCACACTGGTTGTCACGAGATGGCAGGATTCCAGGTAACCATCACTTCATGTTTTTACATGTTGTTTTAACTCTACGACAAACATGTATGATTTATATAATCTGAAAAGTAGGAAACTTCTCTTGGGCGGGAATCTTCCTTTAACAAACGGTTATTAAAAAAAATAGTTATTAAAGGGTGACTGTTAAAAATTGAGACAGTGCCCTCTTTAGAGGTAAACGTCCTGGATTTTATCTGAAGTGTGAAAAGCGCCCGTGTTTCTGCCCATGTGTTTTGCCTCCTAACGGCTGACAGGGCTGGTCTCTCAAAGTCCAATGACAGAGTTGTAAGAAGAGCAATTTCTCAGTCACTGCAGCTTCAGTTCCGCAGTGACTGCGAGATACTCCATCCTTTGTGGGCGAACAGGTGCTGCTGTAGGTGATGTAACTGGCAGCAACATCAGATGCTGGCTCTCAGGGACCCTCCTTGGAGCCAGAATCCCTCCCTGGAGTGTACAGAAGTGTCTGTGTCAGTGGACGACACGCACACTGAGTTCGAGAAACTAACGCTCCTTACTGCGCTGAGGTTGGGGTCAGCACTCCAGAATGGAGCAGGTGGCTGCCCTCTTAGCTGTCCCCTAGAACCAGGCGTCTCAGACGATACTAAGCTTGGCACATGGGACATCCCCTGGCTTTCCTGAGGTTATGCACTGAGAGGGGGCTAACTGGAACCTCACCCTTTCTCTCCACCCACGACAACATCAGAAAGCAGGTGAGTGAAAGGGAGACTGTAAGGAAGACTTTTTTTTTTTAAAGATTTATTTATTTGTGCATGCAGAACTGGGGTACAGGCCAGAGGTGCAGGGGCGGTGAGAGGATTCACCAAAGACAGAAGCGGGGAGCAGAGCAGGCAGATCAATGAAGTACACTGCTAAGGGGAGCAGCGGGGAGACAGGAGAGGTCTGCGCGCCATGTGGGTCACCTCTGGGCCGGGGATTGAACTCTTGCTGAAGGAGCTGCGGCCAGCTTGCAGTGCTGCATCCTAACTCATTGTGCCACCAGGGAGGGCCATGAATTTTGTAGTTTCTTAAGAGAATATTCAGTCTTCATCTAAAAGTGGATTTTGGGCCCTCCCTGGTGGCACAGTGGGTTAAAAGCGCAGCACTATGACACTAACTGCAGCCACTGCATCCTGAGTTCAATCCCTGGCCAGGGAGTGACCTACATGGTGCAACAAACCTTTCCTGTCTCCCCGCTGCTCCCTTCAGCAGTTATTTCTATGGATCTGTTTGTTTGCTCCCCACTCTGTCTCTGGTGAATCTGCTCATCACTCACACCTCTGGCCTGTGCCCCAGCTCTTGTATACAGAAATAAAAGAAAATAAAATCTTAAAAAACATTCTTAATCCCCTTTGAAATGAGAACAGGGGCTGCACCTTCATCTGCTCTCCCCTTCCCATGGTGCTGAGCGCTGCCTCAAGCACAGAAAAATCATCTGCTGCTCGTCATGGATCTAGCATCCTCAGAAGCCTGCTGCAGGAGCCTCAGAAATCAAAGAACAAAGAGCTTTAAATTATTACATAACCGAGCAGCCAGCGCTTTTCCAGATGATTTTCCACATTGTTGCGAGCTTTGTGGTTGGCACTGCATCTTGCCAGTTTCCCTGGAGCCCGAGTGGGTTCCACACCTGTTGCAGCTCCGTTTCCTTGGCCCCTTCCCCTCCAGGCTCTGCTCCCACTGCTGCTCAGTCCTGAGCCAGCCTTTTCTTTGTGTTCCTAAAACGATACCTCGTGAAAGTTCCCAAGGGACTTTCAAAACGGACCCTGTGGACTGAGTCTGCATCGGTCAGCAGGAATCATCTGTGGAGGGATGCCCAGTTGGTGAAGGGTAGAGTGCTTCCTTCTGGGGTCACTGCCTGTGTCAAGGGCCCTTTTAACAGGCTTTCCATTTCTGACTCAGTTTTCATAGCGGTAGGTGAAGCGCGGCGTGGAAGAGATGCTGCAGCCACAGACTTCTG